GACCATTATTGGATTTTGTACCTGGATGATTGAGCATGAACTTTGATACTTTTAGTCTTCTGTGTTTTGTGAGGCTTTAATTGAAAATACCACAGATGCTCGACTGACGAGTCAGTTGCAAGTTTTGTCGTCGGACTCTTTGACACATCTCGAGCATCTTGGAGACTGTCAAATTCTTTCAAACGGATGTGACAGAGCGTCAGAGATTACCAAGCAGCTTCTGCAATGTGCTGAACGTCAGATATGAAATGACGCGCGGCCCGTTGCTTCCTCTGTGTTGAAGGTTTTAACCCGGCTTGGAATGAGAACTTCCAGTTCGACGTGTACGTGCCAGAGCTGGCGCTCGTCCGCTTCGTCGTCAAGGACTACGACGCCGCGTCTGATAACGAGTTTGTCGGACAGTACACACTTCCTTTCAGCAGCCTAAAGATGGGTGAGTGTGTTTGGCCTGTCACAGTAACAGAGTTGTAAAACCACAGCATGGCGTCTGTTTTTAAAGGAACGGAAAAGGGAAGTTTTCCACGTGTGGGGAAGCGGTTTGCTCTGAGCGTTTTGTTTCGTGTTGGCTGACTGCAGCGTCTTTGTGCGTCCGCAGGGTACCGACACGTGCCTCTGTTCAGTAAAGCCGGAGACCTGCTCCCCTCCGCCGGACTCTTCGTCCACGTCATGGTCCTCGACGGAGAATGAGATGCTTCGTTCACACGGCCATGTTGTAGTTCTTGATGTTTTCTTTTAGAATAACTTATTAGCTTGATCCCAGTAGTTGATGGGATCTTCAAGCTCCACATAGATCACATTAGATTTTAACTTCTGTCCCTCATTTTTGGTCAGAGAAATGTTTTATTTTTTTAATTTGAATAATTTTATTTAGAAGAAAAATCAATATAAAATGCCATGTTTTAATCAGTAGTTTTAGCCACAAGACAATTGTTTTTACGTGACCTTAGATGATTTTGTAAATCAAGAGTAATACACTGAACCTTAACATCTGTATGTGCTTGTTTTTTTCTTATTTCTTCCAACACTATTTCCTATAAAGCTCCTGTTACGATGCCTCGGTTGGTGCTAAACGCACTGCAGTTCTAGAAGAACGATATCCTGCAGCTTCGTAAAAGCTGACAGGACGTGTAGTTTCTGCAGCACAACAGATGTTTTCTTTAGCAGGAGCTCCTAGGATTATAGTTGTTAGAGGTGAACTTTGAGAGGACACGCCCTTCGTACACAGAGCGCCAGTAAAGACGTCTCAGGATCAGGTGCAGTCCTCCAGTCGTTACCCCGGGCTGAACTTTCTCCACTTTCATTTAAAGTGATCATGAAGTCAGCAATGTTGAGGCTCCAATTCATTTTAAACAAGCTTCACTGAGTCTGTGGCTTGTTTAATTGATTTTCATGTAATTTTCCAAATCAGAATTGTTCATAAAGCCCGTTTCGTTTACGTCAGCTTGTAATTCTATGATCTTGTGGGTTTGTGGCGGAGCAGCATGTAGTGGTTACAGACTGAGAATTAATTTGGTTGAGATGACCAAGGTGAGGCCTGAGCTTCCAGAGGGAGAGCACCAGACGCTTTGAAGACTAGAAGTCCGACTGGCCCGTAAACAATCCGAAGTCCAAGAAGAGTGGATTCTGAAACGGTGTTAGGACAGAAGGGCGGCACGGTGGCTCAGTTGGTAGAGCTGCCACCTCTCTGCAAACAGGTCGCTCCGATTCAAATCCCAGCCGGGTACGTTTCTGGGTGGAGTTTGCATGTTCTCTCCATGTTGCATGGGTTTTTTCTAGTTTCCTCTCACAGACCAAAACATGCATGTTAGACTGATTGGTAACTCTAAATTGTCTCTAAGTGTGAGTGAGAGAGTGAATGGTTGTCTCTTTTGTCTCCATGTGTCCCTGTGATGGACTGGAGACCTGTCCAGGGTGTCCCCGCCTCTCACACAGCGACTGCTGGATATGGACACCAGTGACCTCCACAACCTGAAAAGGAAGAAGCTGGTAAAGATGATGGATGGATGTTAGGACGGAGACTGAAGTTCTGTGAAGAAGTCCTTGATTTTCAGCATTTTCCAAAACGTGCAAGAATACGTAATAAGGTGCCAACTGGGATGGCGAGGTGTTTTTTCTAGTGGCAGGAGCCACCCGGTGACCCCCCCCAGAACTGCCACTGACGGATGAGAAGTTAAAACGGTCATCATGTCAGACGTCCCAACATTTATTTTACATCTTTGAAATGAAATGTAAAAAAAAAGAAATGTAATTTCAACAAAGAACCCGTCCAGAGGACCCGACTCAACCTTGTTAGATCCATCTACCTGGATTATTGAGCAGCAGAGACATGTCACTTCCTGTGAAATGCATGCTTGTTGCTGAAAAGGTTTCGTCTCTGAACTGTTAATGAGAGTTGAATTTGAACAGCTGACCCTTGCTGAAAGCAGAAAAATAAAAGCAGAAAGAGCTGAAATGTGTAGAAAGGCTGAACAGATTATATACAAAAGCTGGAAAAAAATGAAATGAGCAGACTGAAATGAAAACATGTTATAATTATTAGCACAAAAGCAGAAATTAGCTAAAATAAAGCAGAAAAAAGGCTGAAGTTGACATGAAAATACCTCAAAAGTATCTGAAAAAGTACAAAAAAACGAAGCTTAGTTTAACAGAAAGTAGCTGAAATGAGCAGTAACGAGTTCAAAGAGCTCGAAGGGTTTGAAGGATGACGAGCTCCATTCGTTTTAAATAAGAAAAATATGGCCGACAAAGCTAAAGATTTCAAAAAGTAAAAACTGCAGAAACACCAACAGTCAAAGCAGGTATGTCCTGAAGGAGCCGAACGTTTTGATTCATGAACCGCTGAAAAACAATAACTAGAGAACGAGTGATGTGCTGAAAAACACAGAAGAAAAACGATTCAGACAATAAAAACACTCCATACGGCACATTATATACCCGTCAAACAGCCCAATCAAAATCCTTGTTTAACCTTTGACCTTGATTTGTGGCCTTGGATGATGCAAAGATTAGGCAACACTCCATCTAGTGGTACAAATGAGCAAGTTTCATGAAAATATCTTGATCAGAAGTTTCGTGCGGGACTAGAGGAAGTTCAGACAGACGATACCTGTCAGGTCAGTTTAAAAACTAATTCACTGTTAATCTACTGATGGACAGGAAGCAGCAACCCTTTATATCTAAACAGTTTTATTATCACATTCTTTAATAATTGACCATTTTAGATGTTAGTGGGAACAAAAGACACGAGGAAATGGTTTTAATGACGCCTTTATTAAGAAATAAAAGATGCTCAGGATGATCAAACATTCCGCCAAAACTGAAAGTCAACAAAAACAAAGTGTTTTTTCTAAAGAAACGTGAAGAACCTGACCCAGACGAGCACAGTGACCCAAACTCAAGTGTTTCAGAACTTTGGTGTTAACACAGAAAGGATCAGAATGTGAGACAGTGACGTGAAACAAACTTCTTACCAAAACGTCAAAGGATCGGAAACAAAGTCAAAATCTAAAATATGCAGTTTTTCCAAACCAAATACTGACGAGATGCAGGTAGAAAAATATCACGATGGCAAACGTTTTCAGAGAAAGGTAATCGTGGCGAGCTTGAGAGGAGCTGAAGGAACGCTTCGTAGAAAAAAATTAAGAGTCCAGCATCATGAGATGAAAACTGAGCGCCGATGCAGGAACGCTGAAATAAACCACGTTATTCCATGTTCCTGAAGGAGCAGCAGCCAGATGTTTCAAACAAGTAGTGTAAGGTTCCCAGAACCACATCGGATCTACAAACGAAGCCAAACCGGGTTCACGCTCCAAACTTAAACAACTGATCTCACAAACCTTAGAACTGATCTGTGCCTCCGCCCCGGTAGTGTTTCGTTGTGAGGTGGACCCATGCAGGACGGGTCGGGGCGGAGCAGCTATCCGAACACATCCCAAAGTCGGCTTCGCTCAACAAAAGCTGGAAACCATGGCAACGCAGGCGACTTGTTTGGCTGCCGTCACTGGAACCAACCAAGAAACATTCATGTCGTTCCAGCACTTTTAATTTGAAATATTTTTTAAAGGATGCTTGGAGGTCATGTCGTCTGCACCAAACTGAAACCAGAAGCAGTTTGCCTCCTCTGAGTGCTCTCACACAAACATCTGGATGGAAACGGCGCTCCGATGAGCTTATTGCCACGGCAGCTAATGTTGCAGCATTTGGTTCCACTGGGCTCCTCTCAAACGTAGGCACTGAGGTGAAGAAGAGTTCCAAACACACGTGTGGGAAAATAAACACCAAATATGGTCTTCAGAGGTTTCACAGGACATCTGGATGAAGGCCGGGACCACTGGACTCCAGAATCACAAAGAAACAAAAAAACATGGCACTTGACCCGTTCGCTGCGACGACCCCGCCCGTTGGAAACGTGAAGGACACCTTTGTTAACCTGGAGACACACCCTCGAGTGCTAAGAACATTAAGATGAGCCATCTAAATAACGCGACATGACAAGAGACCAGCCTCGTGACGGAAACGCACACAAACATAACGGACAGTTTATAAAAATGTGATAACTTGTAATGGTTTAACAGTTTCAGCTCGAACCCTGGTAAAGATATGAAGCCTGTTAAAAAATAATTTCCTTATTTGGCAAATAATAAAACGCGGCACGGGTAATAAAATCAAAGAGACGGATAATAAAGGTTCATCTTCGCCTAAAACCAAACTACAACTACAGATAATGAAAGAAACAAAGTCACGCCTAAACAACGAAACGAGCATTGTGAATTTAAAAAGAAGATCACGAGACGACCGCCCAGCTGTGCTGATCAGTCGTTTTCCGTTTGCGTCCACTTTAAAGCATATCGTGTGAAAAAGTGAATCTGAAAATCTGTGGCGTACAAAAGAACTCCTCGTAGAAACGACACTCACACAAGGCACTTGGTTCAGAGTCACAGTCCGTCCCGCCGCCACAAACTGCCTGCGTAGCAGCAACACAGGACAAACCGTTGTCCAGCTGCTGTGCAGAAGAAGTCTCAGACGGACAGATGGGACCTTTGTTTCCTTTTGGTTTTAAAAATAGCACTTCGCCGAATAGTAAAATTTTGATTTGAAAATAATGACCACAGTTCATGTCTTCCCCGATGCTATGAACTCTGTACAGGTTCTGGTGTTTGGAACTAGTTTTTGAGAGACACAGTGGTCCTGGGAGGACAGAAGATTCTCTGATGGCACTCAGAAGGCAGCCAGGAGGGGAGCAGAGACACGGCTGCACGGAGGTTTCCACAGTGAGACTTGTAGGTGTGTCCTTGAGGTCATCTGCCCGAGCCTGGAGGACACGTGGCTGCAGACAGGGACAGGTCGACAGGGAGGCGGCTGCTGCGAGTGTCCTGCTACCGGCTTCTCAAGTTCTGCAGGACTCCGTAAACCTCGTCTTCTTTGCCGATTCCCTCAAAGAAAGGCAGCAGGTCCAGGAGCTCCGTGTCGTTCATGTCGTCGAACCAGGACTGAACTGGGACCTGCAGATACAGACAGAGTTCTCCTACAGTAAGTGTGGAACGTTTTGTTTTGACAGAGCAGGCAGTCCTGAACTTACAGCGTTTTCTGGATGGAAAATGTACGAGGCAGGTGAGTTGTCGACAATAACGACGTTGCCGAGCTCTCGGCCCAGTCGGCTGAGGTCTTTAACGTAGTTCCCTCGGTGGAACACGCAGGACTCTCTGAAGAGCCGTGCTCGAAACACGCCCCACTGGTCCAGCAGGTCTGCCACGGGGTCCGCATACTGTCAGAGTGAAACAAACACAAGAATGCTGCACTTACAAGTTTCACCCTGAAACATGAAGAAACGTGATGTTTGCAGTGAAGACCATGTCAGAGCTGCAGGAAGGAACTACAGCTGCTCCTACATGTTCAGATGTTGCAGCACGAAGCAGACTTTATAAAGGTTTACCAAGCAGGAAGATGCTTCAGGGAACTAGGACACAAAAAGCACGGCTGGATCCTAACCTGTCCTCCGCAGCAGGAACGTCAGCTAATGGATCACATTTACAGACGAGGACAAATCTGGTCTAATAAAACTGATGAGACGTCCTGACTGAAAGGATGGTGCCGCTAACCTCATGCTTGTTGTCCAAACGTCTGATGCAATCATCCAGTGCCTTCAGTCACTCTGAGACTTGTCCACCTGCCCACGGGCGTCCTGGTCCACCTGCCCGCCTGGTCCACCTGTCTGCAGGCGTCCTGGTCCACCTGTCTGCAGGCATCCTGGTCCACCTGTCTGCAGGCGTCCTGGTCCACCTGTCTGCAGGCGTCCTGGTCCACCTGTCTGCAGGCGTCCTGGTCCACCTGTC